CCAGGTTAACCCCATTTTCAACACTTTCCACTATCACCAATCGATTCAAGGGCCAAAAATACGTCTTTTAAGACATGTCTGATGACCCTGGTGTATCGAGCCGAAAATCCCCGTAACAGCTCTTACTATAAGGATAAAAACAATATCTATTATGCCGCTAACAAATTTGGTCAGCTCACCCTTGAAGATGATAAAATTAAAACTAAAAGCGACACCACGATAGGAGTTAAAGTTATGATGGATAATTGCAATTGTCCGAGCTTTTGATCACAGTATTCAGTTTTTCGGCCGGAAAAATTGAAAACAAGACTCAAGTCAAAGAGCTTTTAACGGGTGATACTCGTAAAATATCTGTTCCAGTCCAACTCGGCGCGCGTTCTGGTAGGTTGTAAACCTACAAATCATGTCATGTGTGGTATGGTTGCGAAAATAATTATTTGATGCGCGGCGCGGCCTTGCTCTAACCAGAGCCCTTTCGCTTGCAGTAGCGCGCGACCGCGTCACGCAGTACGCGTAGACACATGGCTATGTGGAGGCGCGGCCCAGTAGTGCATCGCTTCGCGCTATAATGCAAATGCTTGTATGGCTGAACAGAAAACTAGCTAACAAGTAATCTTAATGCAATTATGCTTGAACCTACACCGGGATTTTTTTCCATGTGGAAAAAAATGAACTGTAAATTGTTTTACAAAATTTGATTCGGATCCGCATTTGGACTTGGAGGATTTTGCCGCTTCGACGCGCCGCGCGAACTAGCATTCTTGCTTCGCATCCGTCGTCGATCGTTGCTTTGCTTCGCAGAGCAACGATCTCGACGGATTGACATCGTCAATCAAGATCCGCATTAATGTGCAATAATGAATAACAAATTTTATCATCATTTAATGTGCCTAAAGCTTAAAAATCGTTTTTATTATTTAAGCCGCAAAAATTTAGTGCATTCGATGTGTCAGAAACGAAAAAAATATAAAAAGGGTTTATAAATCCATTTGTAGGTTTACAACCTACCAGGACGCGCGCCGAGTTGGACTCGTCGACGGTATATAATATATGGAACAAATATTTTACGAGTATCACCCGTTAAAATTCCATGTACTATTGTACTGTCATGTTCGCTGTTATTAGAACATAGAAGCAAAGAATTAATAATATAAAGTCTCTCCTACTAAATCGCCCACCCAAATTTTAAGAAAATTCTTGCGAAAAGGCCCTAAAGGTATATATGAATATAATCTTATTGGGTGTATTTTGGACGCTGATTCCGAGTTACCCCCCCATGACGTAGGGTTGACGGATGTTACTCGTCTAAATTTCTGCGAAGTAACGCGCGCCGGGCCAAACCATTAACAATGGTCAAGACGTAGGGTAAAAATGCTTCCCTGGAAAGTTATGGGAAAAAACTGTTTTGGTCACGTGACACGCTAGTAAAAGTAAAACACGACATTGATTGTTTAGGGCTCGGGTTATATTAGGGTTATGGATATCATTGGGGTTCCGTTTATGGTTAGGGTTCAATAGGGTTGGGATTAGTATAGGGTTTATGTAAAACCGTTTTGTTCGGCTGCAAAACCATAAAAACCTTGTATCACGTGGTGACCCCCACGGTCGCTTCACTATAACGTATGAACAACAAAAACCAAAGTCACGCGATAATTTTTGGGCGAGCGAATTAGTAAAAGCCAGGCCATCTAGTTTACTTTTGTCATACGCTGTATGACCCGCCGCGCACGAGTGCGCGGCTCCCCCTGTATCGTCGAAACTCACTATAGTGAAGCGACCGTGGGGGTCACCACGTGATACAAGTCTACTTCTAGGACGTTCGGAAAATAGGGAGGGGGGGGTGGTTTTGGAATTTCGGACAAATCCGACCGGGGGTGAATAGGGAGGAGGTTTCTGAAAATCCGGAAATTTTGGCGGAATTAACGAAAAAGTCCCATTTATTTCAACTCTTTGAATTTTATTAACAATTTATTTTAGTTGGTTTTATTTGTACTCTTAAAAGTAACTGCAAGCTGGAAATCCGGACGTCCGGGGGAGGGTTGGTTTTGAAAATTCGGACACACCCGGACAGGGGGTGCAGCTGCAGGTGGTCTGAAAATTTGAGATTTTGGTGGACGTATTAAGTATATGGCCCCTAAGTCTAACACATATTTGGATATTTGCCAGGTTTTAGCTCGATTATCAAACTCAGGATACCAACATTGAACATATGGTCATTAGTCTAACAACCTCTGTTTTCTATTCTACTGACGGGTCCCCTATTATATATTCATGTAAAGAATGGTCTTTAAACGCCACTAGTGAATGAGTCGGCTGCATACAGACTAGGAACCGACCGGAAATCCGGCTGAATCCGGTTCCGGCCGGATATCCGGCTTCAAAATCCGGTTCCGGCTCCGGCTCCGGCTGGAAAAAAATTTGCCGGATTTTTGCCGGATTTCAATTTTTTTTACCAACAAAAAATCAAAAAAATATTTTCGGCTAATAATGAACAAGGTAGCCTGAATCGTGGAAAAAAGTGGTTTTCAGAAAAACTTTTAAAAATTTTTGACTTAGAAGTTTTTCGGTCCGAGTCGTTCTCGAGACGTACCTCCTGTATCGAGAGCTCCGATCCCGCTTCCGAGCTCGTGTTGCAAAGGGGAGGCCTGCCTTCCGAGATCGCATTACCGGGGGAAACCTTGAGTCCAGAATTGTGTATCGAGAGGTAGGTGGGGACTTCGAAAAACCGAAAAAATATTTTCGGCTAATAATGAACAGGGTAGCCTGAATCGTGGAAAAAAGTGGTTTTCAGAAAAACTTTAAAAAAATTTTGACTTAGAAGTTTTTCGGTCCGAGTCGTTCTCGAGATGTACCTCTTGTATCGAGAGCTCCTGCTTCCGAGCTCGTGTTGCAAAGGGGAGGCCTGCCTTCCAAGATCACATTACCGGGGGAAACCTCGAGTCCAGAATTGTGTATCGAGGGGTAGGTGGGGACTTCGAAAAACCGAAAAAATATTTTCGGCTAATAATGAACAGGGTAGCCTGAATCGTGGAAAAAAGTGGTTTTCAGAAAAAATTCGAAAAATTTTAACTTAGAAGTTTTCGGTCCGAGTCGTTCTCGAGACGTACCTCCTGTATCGAGAGCTCCCGCTTCCGAGCTCGTGTTGCAAAGGGGAGGCCTGCCTTCCAAGATCACATTACCGGGGGAAACCTCGAGTCCAGAATTGTGTATCGAGGGGTAGGTGGGGACTTCGAAAAACCGAAAAAATATTTTCGGCTAATAATGAACAGGGTAGCCTGAATCGTGGAAAAAAGTGGTTTTCAGAAAAAATTCGAAAAATTTTAACTTAGAAGTTTTCGGTCCGAGTCGTTCTCGAGACATACCTCCTGTATCGAGAGCTCCCGCTTCCGAGCTCGTGTTGCAAAGGGGAGGCCTGCCTTTCGAGATCACATTACCAGGGGAAACCTCGAGTCCATAATTGTGTATCGAGAGGTAGGTGGGGACTTCGAAAAACCGAAAAAATATTTTCGGCTAATAATGAACAGGGTAGCCTGAATCGTGGAAAAAAGTGGTTTTCAGAAAAACTTCGAAAAATTTTAACTTAGAAGTTTTCGGTCCGAGTCGTTCTCGAGACGTACCTCCTGTATCGAGAGCTCCCGCTTCCGAGCTCGTGTTGCAAAGGGGAGGCCTGCCTTCCGAGATCGCATTACCGGGAGAAACCTTGAGTCCAGAATACAGAATAGTGTATCGAGGGGTAGGTACGTGCGGACTTAGAAAAAACCGGAAAATATTTTGGGCCACCTCCCTGGGCTAGCCCCCGGCTATAATCGCAAAATTGGCAGTATTTAATCTTCTGATTATGAAATACGAAATATGAAGGTCACGTGTTCAGGGTCTGGGTAGCTACTTAATTAGCTCATTACCGCAATCATGTGACTCAGCTCTAGACACCAGACGGTGATTAGTACTGTACTAGACAGTGCCTGCTTACGAACAACCTTATTAAGCACCTCTGGTTGTAAGTCACGTGACCCAATGATACTTAGACTTGCATGAAAAAAGGGAATTCGCACAAACGCGCTCAATCAGGGGTCTGGCAGCATATGCCAATTAGATATCATTTCTGATTATTACTCGTCTAGTGTCGTGACTCGTGTCTACTCGTGTTACATTGTGTCTGCTACGTACTGCTTGTTTAAGCAATGTCTAGTAGTAGATAGGAAGATTTGGAAAAAAACTATATCTGTTGTCGAGTCGAGTAGTAGTAAATCTAAAACATCGTCCGTCTGGTTGTTCTACTCAGAAGAAAATGGGATCCCTTATGCAAGCTGCAAGAAGTGCTCGATGAAGATTAGGCGTGGAAAGGAAGGAAATTTTCCGGCAACATCCGGCAAAAACCGGCAAAATCCGGCAAAATCCGGCTGCCTTTTATTTCACTCTGAAACCACCGGTTCCGGTCCGGCAAAATCCGGCTTGCCGGATTTGAGATCCAAATCCGGCTGAATCCGGTCCGGCAGCCAAAACCCCGATCCGGTCGCCAGAGTTCAATTGTTAACTCTGGACGTTGGAACACTAGGAACGATTAAACAGGTTTACCATTGACATTTTTATTTAAAACGCACGATGCTAATGTTCTGGAAATGCCGGGTCCTAATGCTTGTCTCAGTAGTAATGTCGACAACAAAGAGCAACGATCTACAACATTTAGAGCTTATAGCGCAGCTTTAGGTAGGAAAGAAAATAAAATGTAGGGTCAAGGTTATAAAGAGGTTGCATGGTTATAAAGAGGTTGCAAGGTTATAAAGAGGTTGCAAGGTTATAAAGAGGTTGCAAGGTTATAAAGAGGTTGCAAGGTTATAAAGAGGTTGCAAGCACCAAAAATGCTCCAACACTTGAGGTGTTAGAAACTGGAAAATCTTGAAAAACCGATCTCTGCGTTAGGGTTGATTCTGCCAGGGCGGAATGTTGACAAATGTTCGGGTTCGATGTGTTGCACAATGCACACAAATAATTAAAACAACTTCTTGTCTTTGATCATAATGTTAATATAAAATTATAATTATAAAATAATTATAATTGAATTTATATTAAATTATGTAAAAAAGTAAACTTCATAGGGCTTGGAATAGTTCTCATAGCATATTAGCATATCGCATAGCTTTTTACAAAAATTAAAAATACTATATAACCATAAACAAGGAAATATTTTCAGCCCAACACAATATTAGCGCACAATGTATTAATCATCAATATTAGAAATGTTAGTTAACCAAAATAGCGCTGCCATTCATAAGCTGCAAAAACATAACAGAACGTTACATAATAATTATTGGAGCTCAGTACCAATGAACTTTAACTAATGACCAATTAGTACAATTAACCAATCAACAATCAGTTAAATCAAGCAGTTCTGGGATGCAGTAAGTTAACTCTGTCTGAAGATGAAACTGAAATTAAAGGTCGAATAAAACATCACTGAAATCTCAAATCTCATTTCATGATAGCTGTAATCACAACACCCACTTTGGCATTCCTATACTTAAAATGAGTTAGGTAAAATGAGTCAACTCCTTAACACGCCTGGCGCGCGTGGCGGACAGCAATAGTCCACTTGTATATAATCATCGAAGTGCCTCTCAACGAGTGAGAATCCCAAATTCAGTCGGTACATCAAGAGGCAAATCGGATATTGTAAATATCAGAGCTGAAAAGCCCGAAGGTGCGGCGTTTTTCAGCAGCCGCAAAATTAGCAATATACAATTACTAAACCATAAATACTAGCTGTAGCACATTTATCAACTTTTCCACATATTTCCACTATTTCCACATACATATTCAATATTCATTGAGCTTCAAAAGATAAAACGCAAACAATCACTTATCATGTCCAATTAATCGAGTTTTAGCATAACAACTTAACATCACGACGTTAAACCACGAGATATGACGTCACACCACGTGCAGTGATATGACGTCACACCACGTGATATGACGTCACACCACGTGATATGACGTCACACCACGTGATATGACGTCACACCACGTGATATGACGTCATAACATGCACCCTCACGTCGCAATACAACTTAAAATTGTGATATCAGTTAAAAGAAAAGATCTGGGTAGAAAGTAACACAATTAATTAACCGTAAAACAATCATAGCACAGGTCAAATAAAACGTTCACCGTGACTTCTCAAAATCGTTATTAAATAAAAATCTCAGTTGTTAGCTTCATCATCAGTTTCAATATCAGTCATTAAGACGCCATGCAGACATCAGCCGCGCTCAAACTCTACCAGTTACAAATTTAAGGGAGAGTATTTCATGGAATGGATAAAAATTTACCAAAAACTTAAATCAGAAGATTATTAAGTATATTAGCAGTTCAGAGATTTGTTTGTGTAAATTTTCCGAACTGCTCGTGAACAAAAGTGGCATCTGCTTTATTAATAAGCGTAGTTAAAATGGAAAAATAGTATAAAATCAAAAGAATTGAGCAATTTCATAATTGGACAGTTTTTTAAATGATAAATTTACTAGCACGTAACGGTTCTAAATGTAACAAAAAACTTGGAATTAATCAATTAATAAATCAATTAAATAATTAACTAATTAATTAATTAATTAAAGTAAGCAATTCCTAATTGAGGTGTAGGGATGGTAGAGTGAGCGGGAAGTAGGAAGTTGGCTAACGTCCAAACTGTTTAGGTTTTTGTAGGTTGTAGCCAGCAGGGTAGCGTAAACCGTGGGATCCTGAAAAGTTAGGAATGTGGCAGTTAAGTTAGGAATGTTCGTGTTATATTATCAAGGAAAATTCCTAGTTTTTCCGTTTTTTTCCCTAGAAAACACTTTTGTCTATGTTGAACATCATTCATGCTACCCTGATCATGCTATCATGATGAGCCGAAATTATTGTTCTGATATCCGGCCAAGCGCCTTCTAAGCTACGTACTATTATAGCCAGATATTCGATCAATTTCTAAATTTTAGAGTGGAATTGAGTGGAATTGAGTGGAATTTGAATGAAAATATTGTCAAATTGTTATTATTCTAGAGGGTAAAAAAGAAAATGTTGATTACGTAATCAACGACCAAACCCCCTCCCCCTCGGCTGATTACGTAATATGTACGATCTTCATTGAAGTAGTCAGTAAAACAAGGGCATGATACTATGTGTGGGGACTACGGACCTGCTACTACATTACACTAATAACCCATTTCAAATATGTGAACGGCAGGGTAGGGTTCGGGCAGGTATAAAACCCACTTTTTCAGTTAAACTAGATTTACACATGACAAAATCACGTGTTATCAAGACCACGTGAAATGACATTACGTACCAGAGAGGGTAGCGAAGTGGTCGGGAATGTTGCTCTGCTGAAGGAGAGGAGTGGAGTGGAGTCCGGAGGTGGAGTGAAGGGCTTGTGGCATCAGCTCGAGACCTGGCATCTGATAGTTCTGCGGCATCATCATCTGAAGGACAGCGTGTTATTTTAATTAATAATATCCCATTGTCTTTAACAAATCTTCAATTGAAGAACAATATTATAGCCGGAACCAAAATGCCGAAAAAGGCCGATTTTAAGTAGGCCTAGGCCGGCCCCCCCCTCCCCCCCCCCCCCCCCCCCCCCCTAGGCCATCACCTGCTGGAAGGGTGTGTTTTGCTGGAGGAGCTGGAATGCGAGTAACTGTTCCTGGTTTGTCATGTGCCCTGTGATAATTAGCCAATTAACCAATTGAATAGTTATATAATTTATTAATAGATTGAAAGAGAGGAATCTAATTATCACTATTCACAAGATCAGAATTTAAAATGACCTCCGCATCTTTGCAAACCTTGCAAACCTTGCAAGCCTTGCAAACCTTGTAACCCTTGCAAACCTTGCAAACCTTGTAACCTTGCAAACCTTGTAAACCTTGTAAACCTTGTAAACCTTGCAAACCTTGTGTAGTAATGCTACATTACTACTAACCTTGCAAACCTTGTGATATGAAGGGGCCTGGCTGGCTGCTCCCAAAATTGCTAGACAAAGTATTCTGATTGAAGTTGGGGGTTGACAAGGACGCTGAAATGTAGTCAGTCAGTGCTGAAATATAGTCGGTTGAGTTGACTTTCTGCTGATCAATAAGCATGAAATTCCACAGCTCAAATGACCATATCAATTGCTTTTGATTATTATATCAATAGTCAAAAATTAAAAGTAAAAGAGAAAGGAAATGGGCATGATAATAGAAAGTTGAAGTAAAACTAACCGAGAGAGTGAAAGTAAAAGCAGAGAGTGAAAGTGAAACTAACCGAGAGAGTTATAGTTGGAAGAGACAGGAGTTTGAGATCTAGTCTGGAACTGTAAGTTAGCCATGTTCATGGGTAGGGGTCTGTGTTGCTGTTGGCCCGTGTTGCCTGCACTGTAACGTGCATTACCCGTGTTTGTTAAGTACCTATCATGGAGCGTCCGTGAGATTTAAATTTAAATTTACAACTGTAACATAAGTTTTGAAATATGATGAAGAGTGCTTAACAACGACATGATAAGAACACATTACTAATTTCTAACTAAAGTATACTATAAATAGTTCTACTAGTTGAGCTCACCCAGGATGGGACGTAGTAAGGTGGTGGGATCCGAACATAGTGTGGTCGTTTATCTTACTCATTGGGATTATTCCCGGTCTACTGTTGTTATCTTTGTCGTTCATACCTGGGAATATTAATTAGAACACCTGGTGTGCACATAGTATTGAGTATTGAATATGATATTTAGCGAATACGGTAAGTAAAAGTGAAATTAAACTCACAGGAAAAGCGAAAGATTACTCACAGGAAAAGCGAAAGTGAAAGATTACTCACAGGAAAAGCGAAAGTGAAAGTGATTACTCACGTGGCATGTACATGTGACTGAAAGTGTCTTGAGTAGCCATTATTTGAGGAGGAGGAGGCGGCTGTATCTGCTCCTTTACGTAGTGCATGTTTTGTATCGGGTGCACTATTTGCTGCGGATTACAAGAAATATTACCTCGAATATATTAATACCTCACACTTTATCATTATGTAAAAATAATGTAATGAAAGGAATTTAATTTTACAAATATGCAGGAATTTGTCCCTAAACTCTACTTACCCTTAATTTCTCACGTCTTCCTTATCTACCGTTACATTCGCACATGACAAATCAAACATCTCCTCTTATTTCCTCACCTAAGGGTTTCTTACCTCCTCCTTAGCCTATTATATCTAACGCAAACCTTATAAGTACATACTACATACCCACGATAAACTGAGCACTTAACCAAACTACGATTATAACAATACAGTATAATGAACTAGTTATATACCTATAGTTGTATACAGTATAATGAATAGGAGAGGTACACCGTGTATTTGTTTGTATAATGAACTATATATTTAATAATTTCACAAACCTCAGGTTTACTCTGAATAGGATGAACTATTTGCTCAGGTTTATCGTCCTTAACGTCTTTGTTCTCAGCCGGTGCCACTTTTTCCTGTTCCTCTACTGGATGCTTCTTGTACGGTGCTCTGTTTACCTTTCTCATTATCTCTGCTTGGTCTGGCTCTTTCAACCTGAAAGTGGAATATTAAAGGAATCGTGGCTGTAGTTCTTATCGCACGTGGACGGATCTATACTTCGTTTTTACTGTGATAAGTAGTAATTAGTGCTGATTAATTACCTTATCAGAACTTATGTTTACTACGACCAACCTGATATTGTCAACACTTTTAGCAAGGTGGTCGATATTATCGTCTCTTTTTCCGTTAAACATGTCCGGTTGTTTGTACTCGTTCCTCCGCATCGGATACCTGAGCATCACCATAGTCACACTACTAGTTACCATAGTTACACTACATGTAACACCACGTGATAAATCACGTGTCACAATCCTTTTTAAGAATCTTGTAACAATGAAACCTATTCTATTGTAAAGCTATCGTTGCGTGTATAACAGCCGTGGTGTGGTGTAAAGGGTTATGATTTGATTACTTCAAGGGGCAGTTATCACGCAATTAGTGTAAACTAAAGATTGCAGCACCAGGAGTATAAACTGTAAGTGTAGTGGTGTAGTGTGTGTAGTGTACACTGACCTAGGTGCCTGTTGAATAAAACCAGGAGGTAAGTGTCTAGCTATATAGTGTGATTACTGACCTAGGTGGCTGCTGAATAAAACCAGGAGGTAAGTGTCTAGCTATATAGTGTGATTACTGACCTAGGTGGCTGCTGAATAAAACCAGGAGGTAAGTGTCTAGCTATATAGTGTGATTACTGACCTAGGTGGCTGCTGAATAAACCCAGGAGGTAAGTGTCTAGCTATATAGTGTGATTACTGACCTAGGTGGCTGCTGAATAAAACCAGGAGGTAAGTGTCTAGCTATATAGTGTGATTACTGACCTAGGTGGCTGCTGAATAAAACCAGGAGGTAAGTGTCTAGCTATATAGTGTGATTACTGACCTAGGTGGCTGCTGAATAAAACCAGGAGGTAAGTGTCTAGCTATATAGTGTGATTACTGACCTAGGTGGCTGCTGAATAAAACCAGGAGGTAAGTGTCTAGCTATATAGTGTGATTACTGACCTAGGTGGCTGCTGAATAAAACCAGGAGGTAAGTGTCTAGCTATATAGTGTGATTACTGACCTAGGTGGCTGCTGAATAAAACCAGGAGGTAAGTGTCTAGCTATATAGTGTGATTACTGACCTAGGTGCCTGCTGAATAAAACCAGGAGGTAAGTGTCTAGCTATATAGTGTGATTACTGACCTAGGTGGCTGCTGAATAAAACCAGGAGGTAAGTGTCTAGCTATATAGTGTGATTACTGACCTAGGTGGCTGCTGAATAAAACCAGGAGGTAAGTGTCTAGCTATATAGTGTGATTACTGACCTAGGTGGCTGCTGAATAAAACCAGGAGGTAAGTGTCTAGCTCCAGGGTGAAGCTGGTAGGAGGGCCTGAATCCCAGCCCAGGAAGTGAAACTCCTCCTTCAGCCCGCAGGATACCCGGTTTATTGTTCATCTCGCGGGAAGTTTTGTAAGAAGACATTATCGCTTCAGCTATTGTTCGATTCTGCTCAACATAACTGGGTAATTAATAATTACTAATTATTCAGTTACATAATTATGGGGATTAAATCAACTCGTCTTCAGCCAGAGTGACGCCCCTTCATAACGTTAATGGAGAAACATTGTAATTGATTTAACGAGAGAATTTGAAAGATTAATCATATCGTATGTTAATGTTCTTGTATAAATTATGACACACACGCCTTCCAGTTTCCATTACGTCATACCACGCCTCTCACGTGACATTGGGGGGGGGGGGGGTGTCACGTGACATTGGGGGGGGGGGGGGGGGGGGGGGGGGTGTCACGTGACATCTTCCTCTTACCGTATTTCAGAGAAGAGGCCCTCATCCTCGTGAGGAAGAGTAAAGTTCTTCTTCATCTCGTCTACAGCAGGCAGGGGAATGTGTTTGGGAGATACTTGTTCACGTTCCTTACACCTGTGATGTACGTGGTCAGGACAAAATGATGTGCTGACAAATTGAGGATGGATGTAAATACAGGGTGTTTCAAGACTCGTGTCCAAATTTGAAATTATAATTTTTCTGTTATGAAGGAGCAAATTAAATAATAGTTAATAGTTAATAGTACTATGTTTACAGTATGTACTGAAGGGGTATCCTAGGAAGTTTCTTGAACTTTTAACAGGTACCCCTCCTCATTTTACCCTCAATTAAGTTTCCTATCATTCGGCTGAATCGACCGAGGAGATCGCATAGATCCAATGTATCCTTAGCTACTCCCTAGACTAGGACGTGACACTGGGATTCGAACCCTGAACCTTCTGCGCAGAAGGCGGATGCTCTAACCACTAGGCCACCTAGTACATTAGATGAAATCGGTTATATGGGAAAGCTTGTTAGGTCTTAAATTTTAGTTATTTCTTGCAAAATTGTGTCAAAACCCATTTTTTCATTATTTTGCAATCTTTTGAAATTTTTCGAAGAAAATGTCAAAATTTGCCCTATCAAACGTGAAGAGAGTAGACATCGTCAAGCTTCTCTGTGTCAACGGAAGCAGTTGGACGGCTGCTAGGAGTGCACTTTCGAAGAAATACGGAAAATCAGGAAAATTCATGTAGTGGCTGCTAAAATCAGCCCATTCTACACAGTCTAATTTATGTAACATATTCATTATTCACACCTCTTAATAAGCTCGGTATCCGTAACTACGAGAACAGCAGCAATGGCCTTGTAGTTCTCGAATATTCTCAACTTCTGCCGGCGTGGAGCTGCATAGACGTTTGTCTGGTCGACAATGTAGTTGCGGGATTTGGTGCCAGCTAGTTTCAGCTGCTCTGTTGCAATGTCTGAGCACAACTTCACTACTCGGTTCCACCTGGAAAAGGGTTAAAAGGGAGATTAGAATGTGAAATATAACGTGGTATTTGTGCAGCGAAATATTGAACTTGAAAGTGTAGTGCTCAGTTAGAACATTTATTTGCCAAGGGACCCAATACTTACTTGAGTTTGTATCTTTTAACAGCGGCGTTCCTCAGGTGCCCCATGATCATATCCTGTCCCAAAAGATAATATCTCTTCTCTGGTTTCTCGCTCATCTGCTTCAGAGCATAAGTTGTTTTACCAGCACCGGGCAATCCTATCATCATTATCAGTTCTAAGTCCTGTACATAGATTTGTCAGAAATCTCGTCTTTGGTACGACCAGATAAAATAAAAAACGTTGAAAATACCTTGAATCTGTTTCTTATTAAGATAACACAACTCATTACGCAGGAAATAACAAACCGTTGGTTTGTTAGGAGGTCTAAGGGTAGCCACCAAGTTGTTAGGGTGGGTGTGAGAGATGAAGATGAACCCGTGGGGTGGTTTAAAAGCAGGGGGCTTCTGTCCAAAATTAACAAACACCTGAAAATGCTAGATTAGGATAAGGCCACTGGCTGTTGTGGTCAACAGAGAATTGAGAAACTGACAAGATACGTATCTTAAATGGTCTAAAGCCGAGAGTACCCTCTTACCTCGGTGTTTTTAACACATATGTGAGGCAGAAAGGGGCTTTCTTTGGCTCGCTTATCCAACTTGAATGCAGTCCCTGGGTGTTAATTATACATGAAAAGAAGAGAAAATGAATAATATTGAAGATGAGGGGAAGGTAAATTGTATTGAAAACATCAGAGCTAAAAGAAATCTAATCTACAGACCTAGGAACTCGTCATTTTTCTGGAAAGAAACAAGCCCACAATCAAGATCAAGATAACACGTGATGACGTCGTGTAAATGTAACCGTCCTCCGTAAACGTCAAACCTGAAATAAATTTACTTTGAAACTGCTAATGGATGTTTTGTTGATCAGGAAAAGCTGGTCGAACCGCATGAGATAATTTATACATATTCAAGTTCGAGCGAATATTATAAAATGCATAAAGACTGCCAGCTCAAGCATCAGATAATGTTAAAAATGGATTGATGACGGTTGGCAGGTAGAAGACTGGTTTTTTTAAATATCGACAGAACAAGTTTATCCAAAAAAGTGACTTAAAATACTTACTTTCCATCAAGACTCTTAAAACCAGCTCCATCGTAGCCATAAGAGTTAACATCTTCTCCCAGCAATAAGTTGGTTTGATCGTGTGACCACCCAACTCTTATGTTACAATCTGCTTTCACGTCACATCCTTCTAAATACTCGTTCAACTGAGGACATGAGTACATCAAAATAGGTCTCAGCTGTGATTAAAACTTAAGGGGGGGGGTTCAGCCTGAAATTTTTGTGAAACTTAATTCTGACATAGCCAGTTAACCAACAAACTAGGACCCGTAACCAAACTTTTGAAGGGGACCCGGACCCCAACCGCCTACCGATGCCCGTATTTGACCCCACTTTGGCCGAGCTAGTCCAAATCACCTTAACATGTCCAAAACCCAGATTTTAGGGTTTTTACGTGTAGCTAAAAAACCCTAAAACCATATGCCCATATTTTGGTATACGCACCAAATTTGATAGATTTTGGCCCATAAATTGGTCAAATATCAATATTTTTGAATGAAACCAACATTACATGAAAGGTAACCCTAAACTATACATTCTCTGAGATATATAGCTTAATATTTATAGAAATGTGGACATTTTACAAAGGTCCTGAGACAATTTCAAACCCATTCTGAAAAATGAAAAAGCCTTAGGCTTTTTGATGAGGTCAATCGCGAACTGAGATATGGGCAGTTTTCTTCATTTTAAATGGTCTTTTGGCGTTAATTTCCACATTTCTATGAAAATTAAGCTATATATAATCAAGAGGCTTGCATATGAATATATTGACATGGGTGCAGAGTTGAGCCTGTACGGAACCTAGAAGTTTCAGTTCCTTGTTTAACTTGCCGTACAGCAAGGACATTCACTACTTTAGCCCGGCGAGGCACATAGCTCACTCCACAACTCCGTGTCAAATGTTTCATATATACTAGCCAAGAACAGAGAATGTATAGTTGAGTCATTTTTTGTCCAATCTAAATGAAAATTCATATACGAGTTCAGGGGATATACTAGTTCAGGGGACCACTAGCTACACGTAAAAATCCTAAATCTGGGTTTTGGGCATGTTAAGGTGATTTGGCCTAGCTCGGCCAAAGGGGGCCAAATATGGTCGCGGCTGCACCGCGGGCACCGGAAGGCGGTTGGAGTCCGGGACCCCTCAAAAGCTTGGTTACGGGTCCTGGTTTGTTGGTCAACTGCTATGTCAGAATCAAGTTTCACAACAATTTCAGGCTGGAACCCCCCCACCCCCCTAAATCAGCTAATTAACTCCAAAAAATTGAAATTTTGCAGAGATTTTAATGCCCAATGTAACCAAAGGATGAGTCTGGTGTTTTACAATTTAGTAAAACTGTGCTTTTAATATAAGCGACTGTAATTCACTTAATATGCAACGGATCTTCGTAATCGATTCAACTTCATTTGAGCTTATTACTGAAATATCAAATTTTTTATTTGATAGGCAACAACTTACAACAATGATTAGTAGAACATTTAACTGCAAATTTCGTTGAAAATTCGTCGAAAGCGACGGTAATTAACGCGCACGAAATTGTGTGCTTCCACATTGCGAGGGAAATTAATTTTCGACGGTTAAAATGTCACTGCGCGTTACATTACACATTTTCTGTAGACCTTCATTTCTATATCCCATCGAGTGGGCCAACGCAGAATGTACTATAATCGATTCACGGGACTGGCGACTTGGTGACTGAAGCTGATTTATTGCAATTACGATTACCCTAGATGCAAGTAAGCACTATGATGTGATTTAAGATAGTGAATTAGGCAGGTGCAGACTACGGATTAGCTGCAACAATGGGACAGACTAGGTGGAAATTGTGTCGGGATTGCAGTTGCTACATTGATAACCCTTACTGGCCACTCCGGTTTGTATTGTCACAATACTTGGGTCTGTGTGGCTTCTGTTGTTATTTAATCTCAACAAAGTGGCGCTGTAATTATCCTCAAACACGCTAGAGTCATATAATGGGGTACAAGCTTTTAGAGGCTAGCTTTAAATGTTAACTAGTTCTACTGTATTGGCGTGAATTATCCCGATCAAACTTGTTTGAACTTATCTAAAGTTTAATATTCATGATCAATGGAACTGGAGATTTAAAACTTGGTAGTAACCCTGCAAAGTGGTCGGGAGTAAACTGTTGCTTGTATGTGTTAATACTTCCTTTTTATTCTTAAATTGATAAATTCAAACCGTTAGCACGTAGTTGTTGACAATGTTGAGTTAAACAAGTATATGTCAATACTACAGTTATGGACTGTAATATAATATGCAATATATGACACGAGTTGCAGTGAAATTGGTATTGGAAGAACCGTGACCGGTGACTCTATGATGAGATCGACACCTCTTTCACTAGCTTACTAGGGTCGTCCCATTCTTTCATTCGATATGCTATAATAATAATACCTCATTTAATCTTTTGCCAATATGAGCGCAATATAAATACTCTCCTTCATTTCAGTTCATCTCATTGGATAATATTAGACGTTTTCTTAATCTCGTTTGAATATTGAATATTTCAATGGTATGTTCGCCTATCTGAGTAGCAGTAATACTTAACTGTTCATGTTTTCCGTAGGCAAGTGTGTGTCTCAAAAAGGCATTAAAATTTAATTAGACAGTAAACGAAATTTAATTGTCTGTTGAAATTTCAAGTGAATATCGTGTTACATGAACATGCTTGTTAAGATTGAAAATACACACGTTCTAGCCAGCTGCTTTGTTGACCCCTTTTCATTTGTCTTAATTCTTAAATTTCTATTTTGATGAAATTCCATTCAACTTTTTAGAATAGAAATGTGGCTTTGAGTATCTGGTCCCTTAACGATTAAACAGTGCAATAAATATTTGAAGGTGCGGAATGTAAGAAATATGCTATCAGATATTTAAGCCCAAGTTTAATTCTCTAAGCCCTTCAGAAGCTGAGATACAAATTTGCCACTTATTATGAAGTATGGGTGTGGTCCCACAGGGTTGGGACTAGCGACACAACATGCGCACTTAAGTAAATTGAGTAACCTATTTAACCCGATTCAGTAGCAAAAAACTCTATTCACTGAAGTGCACACTCAATACCTCCCCGCTACTAGAAACTTTGATGTTTATCAACCTTAAACCTGTTTGTCGGCCTGTATTACAGTATTATTCTCACAGTTAATGTTTAATGTAACAATCGTATTGAAAAATGGCATACCTAATATATCAACGTAATATTCTATTGTTATCATATAGTTTACACGTCCACAGTATATATTTTTATATCTATAAATATTTATAAATGGTAGATTTATTTAGTAATTAACCTGATTTCAGCTGAGTAGATTTTAATTCTACTCAAAATGTTTACCTTATAATGATTGATGACGTGCACCTCGAAGAAGACCTTGCCGCGCAGGACACCATGCGTGGAGCGTACACCTGCCCACATGTACTGCCAGCCATTGTGCGATAATGAGTGACCTGAGGTGCAAAATAATCTCTTTTTAGTCTCTTTTAATAATCTCTAATAATGTTAAAATAAGAATATGAACCATTAGAATCTTTTCATAGAGATGATACAGAGCTACGCAATCTTTTAGCACCTGTCTAAACCGGTTATTTAGCAAAATATAATAATCAAAATAAAAGTTTTAAACTAAATGGGTAAAGGCAAAATGATAGGAGAATATCTAAATTAATCATTGTCTTAATTATTTTACAATTAATTATCTGATAGATTACTCACCGGCTAACCCATCAGCTCTTATGTTGAAGTTTAAATCAGCATTGTTATCGTCTAACAGCACGGGGTTCATCCTACTAAACAGAAAATATTATAAAGGAGTTAATCTTTAGGGTGCAGAGAGGATTCATCCTACTTAACAGAAAATATTATAAAGGAGTTAACTTCAGGGTTCAAATAGGGTTCAACCTACTAAACAGAAAATATTATAAAGGAGTTAACTTCAGGGTTCAGAGAGAATTCATCCTACTAAACAGAAAATATTATAAAGGAGTTAACTTCAGTTAGTAACGGGGGAAAATATCAGAGTAACTATGAACATATTTTACATTGATACTGCAAAGTTAATAACAAGCAGATATATTTGGATTTCTTACATTGGGAGGGGAAATATTTTTCATTATCACGTATTTTGTAAGTTTTATGCATACGAAAGAAAATCTTGAATAAACATCTTTGAAGTGTTAAATAATATATAGATTAGAATTCAATATTAAAAACAAAAATTTGTAAATTCTCATATCAATGAAAATTCGATTAAAAGAGGCTGAGCAATAAAATGCTGGCGACATATAATTCCCAAGCTGTTAGATAGTCTGTTAATATATAACTATTGTCAGCAACAGAGCTGTCTTTCAAATAATTTCCGTACGTGATTTAGGATTGTGTAAACTGTGGACTTAACATATAGTACTCTGACGTCATACCAGAAAACGATCACGTGTTTGTTTCCCTCATTCTATGACTTGAGGTGTATCTGAATCAGTCCCATTCTCCGTCACCATCTCCACTACTTCGCTCTCTCCGTTTTCAACGGTCTGCGCTAACTCACTCGTTACCAGTGATGCGCTCTCTTCTGCAACGTCCTTCAGCGCACGATCTGCAGCATCTTTTTCTTCTTTCTCTTTCTTTTTAGCAGCCTTGCGCTCTTTTACTTGGCCCTGTTCTTTTCTGTATGCCTGATAATTAAGAATATCAAACTTTGCCCAATACCAGGTGACGTGATCAGTATGGTCGACGTGACCGATTTAATTTATTATTCTCTCCCCCTAGCCCTATAACTTTAAGAGACCACTGATTGTTAAATATTTGTCTATAGTTCTGGCCGAATACCGTTTGGCAAAACTCAGGGTTAGAATAAATGACTAGATACCCAGTCTACTTGTAGAAACGATCATTAATTGTTTCATTCATTACCATGGAATTGCACTAAATTTGGTTGTAAAACAGATATTACAAGTTAAAAATACCTCCAAACTGTCTTTTAGTGGATCAAGAAAGGTCTCAAACTCCATTTCCTCCATGGCAGTGAAAACATCTGGAGCAGTCAGGGTCTTTCGTTTGCTCTTCTGTGCTACTGTGTTAGCACAACTAGTGGCATACAGCACAAATACACTGAAAAATTACCTCTGTTACTTGGTTTAATCGAATATTGATATGAAGAATGTAATGATTTTAATATATAAAAGAGTGAACAATTAACATTGATGTGATCGAAGTTTTGAACTAGCGATCAAGAAGTTCAATAGAAATAATTTTACAATTACACGTAATGGCCGTAATTTAATTTGCGGGAACAAAAGACCTTTCTGTTATAAACCGAGCCAAAATTTGAATGTCTCTCAAAGAATCCTCTCCTCAAAGTTGAAACTTATCAAAGCTGTATTTAGAAACCTGGCTGCCTTACTCAAGGCTAGTCTGGCTTCTTTGCTGATCATACACCCGTCTGGTAAAGCTTCCTTGGTGATCCTTGTTACTACCGCCATGGGCAGGTTCAGGTCTTCGGGTCGCTCTGCCATTGCTTTGAGAACAGTCAGTAAGAACTTTAAGAATCTAATTCAGATTGTTGTAATAGATCAGCATAAGAAATAAGGATTACAATCAGAAGTTTATGATTTTAATTTCTGATAGAACAACAGACAGAGCTATTTTTAGAAGAAGAAAAAATATGCCAGAATTCTTAAAAATAACACTTAACAGCAGAAATGGATTCAATGTTACATACATTTTGAACATTCTTGACAAAATAACGTGAGAGCAACAAAATTATCGATATTTCAATAAATTAAATCATCTCAGAAAGAAACCCTACCAAATTGACTGATCAATCAATAAACAATCTCAACATCTCAACATGTCACAACATGAAAAGCAGATAGAATTACACCCACTAAATAGAAATTATCTTCTACAACTCAGTCATCTAAAGCATCATCTGAACCTTCCTTTTTCTCACTGTCATCTGCTGAGTCGTTCTTCTGAACTTTCTTCTTGTACTTCTTAATACTACGCTCCCAAGAAGTCCTGTGCATTCTGTATAACTGCAGTGCACTACGTGCATCCTCAATTGAGTCATGAGCTCCTTCTTGAACAGAAATTTTTAAGATTTCACTGCAAAGCTTTTTAAGAGAAGGTGTGTTACCTTTGGATAGTGCCTTGAAAGGCTTATACTTTGCTGTGTCCCTTATCATGGGTTTTGGATGTGAAAACTCTAGGACTGTAAAATCATGCTTTATATCATGACCAATAACAACTTTATCTTTGACAATGTCTGCTACCTCAGCCTGAACCAATTTGAAAGGCACTCCTTTAGCAGTAATAATTTGTTTATTCAACCCAGTGATTAATGATCGATAGTCAGTCACATGTTCTCTAGGTAACACGATCTTATCATAAACAGTGTCTCCATAAACATTTACAATAGAAACCCTTGCAAGCTGATTGTCCGAGCCATCTTTACCAGAACCCACCATCTCACAGTCCAATGCTAATCGATGTGTAATGTTGTTTGAAATATCTGTGCTTGCTTGTGTTGTGAGAGGCTTGGTTTTCCTCTTCCTCTTGTCCAGACAGGGATTGCTATTCTCTTTTTCTGTAATATCTTTCACATGGGATGTCAGGTCATCCGGAATGTGGACATTACTTACCTTCTTTGCCCTCTTGGTAACCTTACCAGTCTTTTCAGTATCATGTTTTTCACAAAACTTCTTCCAATTAGTTGCACCAGGTGATTTTACATGACCGGAGGAGTTGTTTTTACGCCTTCTAGCCATTGGATTCTGAAACCAAAAAGAAGTTATGTTTTCAGTGACTAAAAAAGCAATTTATCATTGAAGAAAAGTACGATCTTTCTCCTTATAATGCATTGTGAAAACACAGTACATGTATGTCCGCATTGGACTCAATTTAAGAAGAAGCAAAATCGAGAGATTTTTTAATTGTATCAAGACCAACTTTTATTATCAAAGCTAAACCGTGACTTATAGTCCGTAGGACAGCATAATTGCACACTAAGTGTAATGTAAAATAATAATTATTAATGGGATAAATCTATAGTTTTTTTTAAATTAGAAAAAAAATTCAAACAGAATAAGTCAAATCTTATTTTTTCCCTGATAAATGTCATGGGTCAAACTTAGATTTCTTGAAAGTTTCGTCAAATTTAATTATTAACAGTGGGTGTGACACAGCACTTCATCTTTTTCGCTATTCTACCATAAAGTGAGAACGCTTTCGGCTAGGAACTTCAAAGTTTCTAGTAAACACATTTATTTGGCTTCATAATTGAAATAAGCTTCAAAATATTATCAGACTATACATGCAGCATACTATTGGAGTAAATTGTTCGACTTTATACTTGAGTACAAGTCAATTTGACTTTTGGGACATATAATCTTACAAAGGATCACGTTTAGGTTCTAAATTATTTTAGGATTGTTGACATTTGTAAGATTGACATGTTTATAATAATAATGCAGCATGAGTAACTGGTGGATAAGCCTTCGGTAAAAACGGATCCGGAAAAGTCAATGCGGCACTCGTGTTCTTGGTATTGTCGTCGGTATATTGTCCATTATCTACGTTATGCTTTCATAGTTTAAACAATAATGAGTTCTAAATATACAGCTTTAAACCGATTAAGTATGAATGAATGAAATACCTGACAATCCGCACTCCTATAATTCAAAAGCATGAGTAACTCGTAGTGATGTATGATTTCTAGAAACTTTAAATCAAATTTGGCGCTCACAGGTCCTCGTGATCATGTGATCGCAGCATGAGGTTCTGTAAATGCGCAGGGCACCTTCGAGCTTAAGGTCAAGTTCGGAGACAACCTGTACATTTTTTACTTTTTTAGAAGTGTGTGGTGGAGCCAGCTCAACACACACTGAAACTCCCTGATTATATGGCTGACAAGACATTTTTCAGGACTTTCTCTGAGTAAAAAAATAAAATTAAAAGGTTGAACGGTTGAGCAGATACAGGTGGTATTAAACAAACCCTTAAAAGGTGGAGATTTAAGGTGGAGACTGGCTCTGGTTGAAGAAACTTTTGATTAAGGTGGAAAAGGTTATTGGTAACACAAACTACATCAAATTTGCAATCTGATGGTGTTATCAATATTTTATTCAAGTGCTCAACCGAGGTGGAGAAATTAAATGCACTTTTCAAAACTGCTCAACCGGGGGTGGAGAAAGGTTTAGAGAGTTCTAGGTTAGCTAGAAAGTTGCGTCTCGGCCTTTTCTACTTCCCGTTAAATTTTGTTTTTTCCATTGACGCTCAACAGGGTGGAGATCTTTCATTAAGAAACAGTAAAAAGCCTGTCAAACATGCCTAAATTCATTGGTTTTATCACTAATTCTAATCTGCTCTGTTAACTGCTACTGTAGGGGATCATAAAACTGTTACCCCTTCTGTCTTAAAGCAAAGTGTTCTAGCAAATGAAAAAACTATCAAAGTTGTGAAAAGGTGCTCAACAAGGTGGAGAAATTGTTGATTAAACAGTAAAACATTAAAAAATGCATTAAAACTGGCCCCACCGGGTTGAGTTGAGCTTTGGCAGTTGATTTCTGGAAGAAATGACATTGGGTGACCCTTAAGCATGTATACAACTCATCAAACTAGCCATCAACCACTCAACCGCGGTGGAGAACCTTGACTTCTGAGGTCAAATTTACGCCCAAATTTGCCAAATTTGAGTCTCCACCTATGTTGAGTGTACTTTTCAGCAAGGATGCCGTGTAATATGAGTTGGTAGATGATTTAGAATCATTGGTATTGCAAATGGACTGCCACAGTCACTCTACAGCTCCTAAACTACAGAATAACAGATTTTGAACTGCATGTTATGCTGTCTCCACCTCGGTTGAGCCGATTCTGAGGATCCTATTCTATGAAATATGTTTGGTATAACCCATAATATTAAATATTAGGACTTTGGAGCAATTAAAAAGCATAAGAGGGTTAGTTCTAGGGTTATATTAGCTCATGTAGTCAGTGAGCTGCTCCACCTGTGTTGAGCAGACAAACCTGCTCAACCGGCACTTTTTGAGTACCCACCTGTCTTACGTAACTTTAAATTGTGAAATTTGGAGTAAATATTTTTTCATAAGTGATTTACAGCTCCTTTATTTTTGTAATTTTCAGGTGGCCACTGTCTCCACCAAGGTTGAGTTATTTAAATTTTGAACCCAGATATCATTATAGAAAGGTTAGGAGTATAATATCTGAAGAGCCTGTACCCCTTGGACTGTCAGAGGAATTATAATTAATTTTACCGTTTATGGCAGTGAAATGAGTGTAATTAGTGACTGATTTTATGTACAGGTTGTCTCCGAACTTGACCTTAAATTATTCACCTTACTGAGGCAGTCAACCAACGCGCGGCTTTATTTTTATGATATAATATGTTTTGATTGTTATTAATAAATACCAAAATTTAAATTTGTTTTCCTAAAATTTGTTTTCCTAAGTGCTTTCCCAAGATTTCAAGTTGGTTGTTCACAATTTAACCGAGTTATGACCCTTTTAAAATGTTGTAAATGCGTGATCCAGCACTTAATCAGTGATATATTCACTCCATCAATACCCTGATTGGTTGGAAACTCAGTTAAACAAAAATTTCAGTTAAACAAAAATTTCAATTTTATGCCATTTATTACAGAATAAACAATTTTACAATAAATCATTTGATATTTAAAGGAATCCTAATTCAAATAAAAAGGGCTTATGTTAAATAAAGTCGTTTTGAGATTTAATTGACCATTGTTAATGGTCTGACCCGGCGCGCGCTACTTCGTAGCACTTGCCATCGGGCCATTTCGAGAAGAAAGCGGCGCGCGCTACTTCGAAGAAATTTAGACGAGTAACATCCGTCAAGAGATTTAAATGCATAAAAACATATTTATGGAAACCTATTTATGGAAACTAACTTTAGTATAAACATTTGAATTTGATTTCTATATGTATCCTAAATGGAAAAATGACTTACCTACACTTTAAAATGTGAAAATGTTCCTGAAGCTTTTCAATTAATTGAGGTAATTGATCTAATTTTGACATAAATTTTGGCCCATTTAAAACAACATTCGATACATAAGCCCCTCTTAATTAATTGAAACCTCTTACATGTGAGAATCGGTACAGGGCGGTTCATAGATCCTTTTAACTTTCAAATTTATTTCTTTGAACATCAGATTCCAACAATTTGTTAGAGCATCTGTTGAAAGTAAAATATAATTTTTAAGTAAAATACAATTTTTATTTTCCACAGAAGAATCAATACATATTGAATTATAAATATCCGATAATTCCATTAATAATCATTAAAAGTTGCTTTTTCATTTGTAAAATCACGCGCGCGGCATCTTTTCTGCAGCTGCCTAACTTGTAGCCGCTAACATCAAAGCCGCCGCGCGCCCAAAGTGCTGGGTGCATTCTCATTGACAATTACACTTGGTCAAAGATATTTTGACCATTGTTCACGGTCTGGCCCGGCGCGCGCTACTTCGAAGAAAGTAAGACGAGTAACATCCGTCAAAGATATTTATATACAATTCCTAAATTAAATCAATAATCATGTTAATATGAGTATTCAACACTACTAGACAACAAATATTTGCCGGCTCATCGACGATTCAGTCGCCGAAACAAAAATCAAATGTTTGCTTTTTCGTTTCGGGAACTGTTTGAACTCAGTAATTACACTTATGTAGGAAGTACCTGACCCAAACAACCAAGTTTCGACGTCTTGACCCACTCAGGCCACTCCCAGGAACAATTCACAACTATTTGTAGGGGATTTAAAATCCCCTACAAAATTCAGGGAAACGTCTTAATACTGCTTCTCGGAATTGTTACGCGCAATTTAATAATTTGTAGACAAATTAGCGCGCCGCGAACCACGCGGAATATCAAGAAAACAACAAATTTCAAGAAAACAACAAATTTTTATTTAAATCAATTATAGCAACAATTTGAAAAACTTTAAAGCTCTTCTATTACCATGGAATATACTACGGGTATGGTGACTTGGGCTATTGAGTTGTTAAGTAGATTAAGATTAGTAAACCTGCACTTGCATTGTATATTTTATTAAAACTAGAAATTAGGCTTCACGGTAAAATGGAGAAGCAGGCTGATCTTGGAGAGAGCAGACCGTAAAGTTTACGCACCCACCAGGGCTACCTACCTACCCCAGTTGTTCTTTTTGGTTTATCAGCTTGTATTGTTATATTTATGGACCCCAAGTCACCACACTAAGAAGGCAGTATGGTAAAAACAAAGATAGCTAATAATCATAAAATAAATTAATGTAGAGGCTCTTACTGAGCATTGTCTGTCGCGACGTTAGGGACCCAGATCACCTTACTAGACGTATTTTAGACCGTAGAATCGATTGAAGTGGTTTCAAGATGATTGGATGATTGTTCTGGGGTAAATCGCAAAAAACCGATTTTGGGCCAAAAATAGGCCAAAAAAAAACCATGTTTTTTGATATTTTGAGCAAGTTAATTTTGTTGGCATGTCGGCAAAACTTGCATAAAGATAGCTAAAAGACAGCCGCACAAGATTGTATAAACAATAAAACAAATCCCTCTATTTGTTCTGAGGTAAAAATCCAAAAAAGTGGTAAAAATTTAGACTTCTATTTGCTTTAAGTTTGAATAATTTTTTGCAGTTGTATTAAATCAACCCAAAAACTAGTCACATGTGTTTGCCTAAATTTTTCCTTTCCGAGAAGTACCCACTTCAATACTAATCGAAGATATGAATATTG